CTACAATTTTCACTGCAGGGTACTAAGCGAAATGCAACCACAACGTTGCTCCCGTCACATTGACGGGTGATTGCTGATGGCGTTGATCGGTAGAACTAGCTAAGAGAGAGGCGAAGCCAATGACCCGCATGGTGTAGTGGTGAATGCGTTAATCCCTGGAAAGGACAATAGCGCGTTCCTTCCCCACCATAGACACCGGCGGTTCGGAGTTTTGCAAATAGCTCAGTAACGTTGTGGTTGTATTTTTCACATGCTCATATGGTTTGCAGAGTTACTAAAACTTCGTGAGACAAGAAACGCCTACACCATTCTTAATTCGATTCTTTCATAGATTCGTAATAGAAATGAAGACTTTAGTGAATAAGTTTATATTAAAACGCTATGGACAGTTAAATATTTCACTTTTCAAACACAATCGTTGTAGAACGGCAGGATAGGAAAAGATAAAACGGATACCTTGCAAACAATGCAGCTTCATACTCAAGCAATAGGTTTCCTCAACGTGTACCCAGACATATCAAAGTGGGAACAGACGTCAGTTGCCTCTTGCTATGATTATTAAAAATGATTACATCGCAAACCTATTGGTCTTATTTTTATAGCCTAGCATTCTGGCATTTCTGGGTGTCGGCTTGCAATGTATAGCGGGGCATTAATCCAACTAGCAGCGTCTCCCATGCTGAGGAGTCCGGCGTTTCCGTCAGTAAGCCCCGCTAAGAGTAAGCCAATACCAGGATCCACGACCGTCCTGGTATCAAAGTCACATGGTGGGAAATCTCCCTCTAATCCAGAAGGGCGGTTTCTACCTGTAGTGGTAACGACCTGGAGCAGAATTTGGCCAGGCTGACCTCAGGACTCCAGCAAAACACAATAGCTAAACGAGCAAAGCTCCGAAAAATTGAGAATACACTGGTGGCCGTACAACCACTGAGGACAGGCCGTCCAGGTATCCAAGTAAGTAAGGCATTTTGGCATTTCTGGCATTCCTGCACTAATTACAGAGAGTGTACTCTCGTGTTGATTATCTCAGGATGAACTTAATGACATCTTGAGGCGGTTTATAAAGTCGGCATAGCTTATAAGATTTGTTCAAAATGACTATATTGGTAGTAATGGCGAGCAACTAGCATCATCATAGCCATGCGGTGGATTTGCATTGGTAATATTGACAGCATGAACAGCCAGAATTGTTGTGGAAGTGATCGCTCTCCAAATATTAGGTTGTATGACCAAAATAACCATGTTAGGCTACTAAGTTCTACTCGACAATTAATTTCCTCCGTCCAGTGAGTAGTCCGATACCTAATTTCTCGCTGCACATGCTGTGATTTAAAACGAATCCATGCCGTTGATCTACCCGCACTTATAGGTGGAAATGAATGTACTTAGGATTGTAACAGTCAAAGTAAATATTACCAGTGCAGGGTAATCTCTAAGATGGTGTTCATAAGAAGAAGAAACCAGCGGTAGTGGATGCTAAGTCTACTATCTTCACTCTCTGGCAAGAACGTGTAGTCAATTTGACTCCTCATACCACAACGCATTGACTTTATTTCTATCTTTTACTTTATTTTGGCCCGTCTTCACGCCTACTGTGCGGATCCCAGCACTTCTCATATTCGATTCGCTTTCTCGTATCCATTGTCCACGAAGATCTTCCAACTTTACGTGTGGCTTCGGTTGCTGCTTGAGGATTTTCTTGAATGTCGTAGAATGGTCGAGCAATTCTCCCTGGAGACCTGAGATAGCCGGGCTGGAGCGTTCCCAATTGGATTGCAGAGAGCTTTTTTTTCCATACAAGTCCGGTACCAATTTCCCGATTCCAGAGGGATGAGAGGCTTGGTTGGCCCACAGCGGAATTAGCACCATGCTCGTGATGACGGGTATCACTCACTACCACTGTGCTATCCGCTCCCTAACCCATATGCTTACGTAACAAAAATAAGTTATCGAGCAGAAATATAACAAATGGTTACTGGAATATTCTCAAAGTTTCCTACTACCATTGCTTGCTCTTGCGTAAGCGGACATGGCTAAGTGCTAATAACAACAAACGAACTTTGAGGTAAGGTACGAGTATGTGAAGCGTGCAATTTATATTGATAAATTCCATAGCTGGTCTGATCTTGGTCTACAACTTGTCTTTTGTGTTCGAACAGGCATTGTTTGCAAATGCGACGACCTTATAACTTCAGATATATACCTCTTACCATAACCAACCAAGTGGATGCTAAGAATGGATCAGAGTGGGATTCCATAATTCACGAACTCTAAAGCTCGCAATTTATCTCAGTAGGCAGAAAACCTACTAATGTCTTCGTCTCTTCTGTCGTTCTCGTGACTGCTTCTTCTGTAGTCTATACCTTCTTTATCTCATTCACCACCAGATCCAAAATATAAGCAATAAATAGTTCATAAAAATTAATCGGTTTACTGCATCCAAATAGAAGCTGGTGATGGCGTTCCACGCATTTCTAGAAACCATGAAGTGCTACATAGTCGGCGATCATCACTGACGTCATAGTCAACACGACAACAAAAGAGAAGTATGTTGAAGGAGAGGCGGTGTAACGCTCTGTACGAATCATACACGATTCACGAAGTGTGTGGCGAAAAACCAGTCACCAGTTAGATGCGCCAGTCATTTAACGTTATCTGTTGGAACTGAAGTTTAAGCAACTATGGACTGAAGAACGAAATGTGTACCTTCGCTTCCATATTATATAGCTGTGATGGTTAGAACTGGTTTATTAAGTTAAGCTTCGATAAATGTCGTCTTTCATTGGTCTTGTTTAATTCTAGTAAACGTCAATCTTATCATTATTTCTCGTAAAAAAAATCCCGAGTTACCACAGAGTGGTGAAAATCATTCGCTGATCAGCTTAGTAGCAGTAAAAGACATAGATTTCACAGAATTGGTATTTGTTCATCGTAATAATTCCCTCTAACGATTTTCCGCTCCATCATGGTTAGGCCGCTGGGGTGTTAACGAGTTCGGAACTGGTACGTAAAACGGTACAGGAAGAACATCCTCCATTGAATGTCCCAAAACGAGAAGGACTTACATTTTTCCACGCGAAAGCGTCAAACGAAAATTAAACGAATTCCAGCAATCACTACAATTATGGTAGCAATCTAATCTCAAAATAACAAATATCTCGCCTTCACGTCTCCGAAGAGATGTCTTGTCGACAGCAAGCGTCCTGTAGAAAAGAGCGCTGCCGAGTGAGATAGTTTCATTCATGTGGTGCTCCCTGGATTCGACTCGATACGACCACGAAGACCCACATCGGAAGAGGAAACAACTATAGACAATCTACTTGGACCAATCCGGCTCCGAAGAAGGCGGAGGTGCCATTAGCCTAAGAAAGCATTTTATCAACCCCGTGTAATGTTATCGATTAGGCAAAGTCGGTTTTTGAAATATGAATGGTCTGGAACTCAAACTCCAAAAGTTTTAGTTTTCGGTATAGGCGGTCGAAGCGCTCCGTTACGCAGCGGGGACTGGTGAGATTGACACTTCGACGACGTCGAGAGATATCAGCACCACCTGCAGATTTCTTAAAGGATGTCTTCCGAAATAAAGACGGTGCACGCTTGCTTAACATCTAGCTAGAATACGGAATCCAATTCTTCGTCAGCGATCCCGTTGCGGAGGTTCAGCGAATACATAAAGGCGGGCGGTGTAATGGTAATGACGCCATTCTTTGCGAGAAAGGGGCTTGTTTGACCCCGCCCACAGCCCAGCAAGTATCCCATCCTTCAGGGTAGGGATACTGGTACTCGCTTTCTCGAATCCACGTGGGTACGCTTAGCAAGGCCATCTCAGGATTCCGAGAAATGAATCAACCATCATTCATCGACATCTATGGACAAAACGGAAATGCTCAAGCAGTAGCCGAACTCTTATGCAAAAGTTCGAAGACTTTCGTGGATGACGGTTGGAATGAAACGAGTCGAATGCAAGAAGTGCTAGGATCCCCACAATAAGGTGATGTCGAGTCAGGTAAAAAAAAGAATACATATCACAGAAGACATGTATGACCCGACTATTTAAAGAGCAGAGTTGACAACGAATGGACGACAACTATGCTTTTTCTGGCGAACATCCCACGAACTACAAGTGAAAAGATTTAACGTCATGGATGGTACAATGTCACCATCATAAACGACGACATCTATTTTAAAACACCTCGTTTCATCACCTGAATGAAAAACTCGGGAATGATATCTCTACCTCTTCGTACTCCAGGCTTTTCTTGATGTAAAGGATAAAGCTCTCGGCGTTGATCAATCCCTGAGGGATGCGCCATGCATTCGACTTCATTAAGTATCGTTGGAAGTGATTGAATGCATATCTGGCGTTTACAATGACTCGCGGTGGCCTACCGATGTATCGAGCCAGTGCTGTTAACCTCCCAGACAGGTCTGGTACCAATTAGTCGACTCCGTAGGGATGGAGAGCTTGGTGGATCTGGGGCGCAAGGATCGATCCAATTTGTATTGCAGGGCGCCTCCGACCACTGCGTTACACTCGCTTCTTGATACGCGTTAGTATATTTTCGATACAATAGACATTATATAGATTTTCGACAGTAATATGTTTGATAAGCAGAGCTCTCCGTGAGTCATTCTAACACCGACTGCCCATTAACTACAAGTTCACTAATGATCGAATTCCTGAGAAGACCTCAAAAATGCTTTGCCTCAAATGATTACCAATTTTTTTCTACCAAGTAATGATTAAAACGGTATCCATACCTACGAAAACAAACAACAGGGACTCTTCACATTACGATCGGCACAAAGAGTTGAATATTATTGGTGCTACGGTCGGTACTCGATGAAGTCCGTGTTTGCACGCGTTCACGTTATGCGGCAAAGTAATTACGCCCGATTTCGAGGCGATAGTGATCGTTCATTCCGTCAGGTGTAGTGGTGTGGGGTGGACGTGCTCCGTAGCGTGGTCGTCTCGTTAACAGACAACCACCCAATGAATTATGCCGATCATTTTGCTGGTCGTTGACACGAGTGCCTCGATGGCTCAAAAAACCTATCTAGGCACCTCATATCTCGATGTGGCTCGTAACATTATCGACACCTTACAGAAGGTAGGAGCAGTTAGATGCGATTAGAATTCTTTCGATTTATAGACGTTTCCATGTAATTGAACCGAGATAGGAGCGCTCTTGTTACAGCAACGTATGAAAGACGTAGCAACTCGGGGTTACGATCGTTTTTTCCTCATCACAACTGAGGACTACCCAAATTGTATCAAGGTATATCTTCAATACAGAGTTTTCGAAGCTTTCAAAGGCCCATTAACTTTGTTGCTTTAGGAGTAAACTTTCCGTAAGGGTTTTTTCAGAAGGTTTTTTACAGTGCGGATGGCGAGAGAACAGCGCCGTACTGCATGAACAGCTGAAGAGGTTACGTCCACATGGCCGAGGATCTATAGCTGAGGCCTTCATGAACGCCCTGAAGTTCATCAACGTCCATCGTGCACAAACGGGTTCGTGTCTCGGTGCCTTTAACTTAAAGCTGTAAAGCACTAATGGGCCGAGATTGTTCAACGCTATATAAGTTTTCGATTAGTAAACACTTTGGTCTAAAGAGTTTTGTTGAGATGCCAATTGCTTAACATTACTCAGTACTCAACAGGAATCGATAATTATGGATGCGGACGATTTCCCGCGTACTTCGAGCCGGTCATTCTTCTTGCAATCACCGATTCAACTTCTTTGGCTGATATCCCTTCCGATTTTCGGGTTGGTTCTTCTAGTTGTACCTCTAAAGGAAACGTCTCTCTACCGTATGGCTTACCGATATAAATCCATGGAATGTCTTATAAATCTTAATGTACTGGTGTAAAAGAAAAATGCGATTTCTTCTTTCACAAAATGCTTCTTATGAAATTTCTGTACTAAACTAGTTGTTAGAAAATGTCGTTCTATGAGATCATTCTTAACACTAACCATTGAAATGTACTTGTCACTGGGTTTACAAGCATTTTGTTTTTATAATTTGAAGAGGGCGTAGTAGGGTGAGTTGAAGTGGACGTATCAAAGAAGCTTGTGTTCAGATGGTTCCTACGGGAAGGCCATATCTGGGTTCCGAAATGACTGTCGAATCGTTTCGCTGGGATCAAAGGCTCTATACATGTGTATGTTACATACTGATCTTTTTTCCATGCTAACATTTTAATTTTTTTTCTGTCGTAATTGAAGGACGAATTTGCAAATTATCTCCTACACATGCTCTTCAGGTCCTTCGTTACCCATCCATAGGCATGCGGGTTAATCTTACTCCTCCAATAATTCTTCCAAATGGTGGACAACCTATTGAGTCGCTCTGTGCATCTACAGGCGGTGAGGTTTTTCGTTCTTTAGCTTCCTCTTCTTTCTTTACTACTTCCTTTCATTATCACTTTTTGTTAACATCGGTTTTGTTAGGTACGAGCACTTTCTTACTTTGATTTCAAGTGATAATACGTGGCGATATCGGAGTTATAGATTTCTTAATGCGGAATATCTTACTTACTTGGATACTTGAATGATCCTTCGTATGTGGTTGTGTAGGTCCCAGCATAATCTCCATTTTCCTCAGATTTGCTGGTTAAGCCATTGTGGTTCTCTGGAATTCCAAGATCAGCCTGACCAAAATCTGCTCCATGTCATCACCACCATAGGCAGTCGCAGCCTTTGTGGATCAGAGTGAGATTTTCCACCATGCGACTAGTTTCATAGCAGGACTGAGAAATCCTGGTATTGCTTTACTCTTAGCTAGGTTTCCTGATGGAAACGCTGGACTCATCAACTTGGGGGACTTTGCCGGGGGATGAATCCTTTTGCTGTACATCGCATTCCAACACCCAAGAACGGCTTCCAGCTACGATGAGGAGGTAAACAGTTGGGAGGAGTGCGGAATATCACGAATTTTATTCCGACTATCTATAGGCACTGAAACGTAGTTGCTCATATGAGATTTAATCTTCACTTGTTTCTTAATGACTGAAGTAATAGTTGTGTTGGAGTTAAATGAGGTCCGATACAGCATTTTAGTCTCGTAAGTTATATACTTCTACTCACATTAATTTCCAGGTCGATCATACCTCCTCCAGTCTCACAAGCTGATTGGTCCAATGGTCGATCAGATTGTGCAGGCTATTCAATTAAATGGAATCATAGTTCGTTTCGAGTGTCCAACTCTAGCAAGTAAGCAGTTTTTCTTACCTTTCTATGAGTATACGTATATGTGTACACATGTATATATATCCATCTATATACATGCATTTGTATATATACATATATATGTGTATATACATGTATATATCTTCAATAATGGTGGCTTTAGATGTACGTGAAACAAATGAGGAAACAATGTCTGATCGTGATAAAGCACGCTTGCGTCTGCGTAACCACATGGAAGCCAAACCTTTAACTCTCGTATACGTTAAAGGTCTTGGTGGGCGCCCACCCCCTGGTCACTGGCCGATTCCTGAGGGTTTCTGGCATGATCGAATAGAGTGAGGCTCTTTTTTTTTGGTAGAGGTTATGCAGAACTGAAACGACGAACGAGAGTTTGGTGCTAGTTTCTTGGCGATATAAGGTCATTAGGGCGTTCGACTATGTAACAATTTTTTCCCTAATACCACTCGCTGCCTGTCTTCAGAAAAGGACAACTTCCACCACGTCGAGCCCATCCAAGTATCGTTTTCTCAATCGATCCTGTACCGTCACCGGTATGTGTTGAACCTATTTCATTGATATGGGAGTGTATTTTGTTTTAATTGATTTTGAGAGTGTATTTGGAGAAGTTTTTTTGTTCTCATGGCCTATAGCACTAGTTCACAAAGCCATTTCTTATTTTCGAAATTCAGACCATTCAAACTGACCTTCCATTTGATAAGTATCAGCTGGAACCGAGCCCGGTTGCGGAGTACATTCTCGATAGACATGCGAGCACATCTGCGAACATGTGCTACCAAGTTAGCTTGAACCATTTCTATTTTTGAATAATTATTCACAGAAGACACATGCAAGAGTTTTGAAGTAACACGAAAGGGAAATTGAAAAGCTTCCAATCATACTGTCGTGGAATCAGTGACTTACAAATATTTGTTGGTTCATTAAAGGTTTTTGTTCGGTCATCAAGCAGAACGGAAGGAGTCGGTAAACCATTTGGCTATTTGAAGAGTGCTTCGAATGGACAAGTTGTTAACCTGATAATCATGCCCTATAACTATCCAGTGATTGTGCAGTTATTCGAGGAATATAAGGTAAATTGTGCTATATCTTAGGAAAAAATGTTGATTGTGTTTGGTTGGGAGTAGAATGTTAGAGACAAGTGGGATCAATCTATTTTCTATGAGTATAGTTTGTACTGATTTCTTTGCGTGGATACAAAAATTGTTATTCGCGTATCAGGGAAGAAGTAAATGAGGTGACTATAATGTGTGGATTAGTACTTCTGCAGTTGGTTAGTCCCTCTGGCATGGTCTTCCAAACTGAGAAAGTGTCCGGCGTTTCCACCGGGGACCCCAGTTAAAAGTAGACGAATATCAGGATCCATCACCGTCATGGTACCAAACTAGTTGCATGGTGGCAAATTTCCCTCTGCTGCATAAGGACGGCGACTGCTTGTCGTGATGACGGCCTAGGGCAGACTTTGACTAGGCTGACCTCGGGATTCCAGGGGAAGACAATGGCTCAGACAATAAAACAGCAAAACTCCGAAAAATGGGGACATGCTGGAATCCGTACAACCAATGAGGACGGGCCGTCCAAGTATCCAAGTATAGGAAACGTGTAAGCTCTTTGCACCAAATTTGTGCAGTTTCCACTGTTTTCTTTATCTGGAAAATAGCTGACTTAACTATAGTTTTTCTACAGAGATTAGACGGTAGTAAATCAGTATACTGCTTTAGTTAGTTCTATACAAAGGTTACTAATGCTTGTAGAATGATCCACGTGTTCGAAATGGGGGCAACTGGCGTGCCAGGTTAGATCGCTATGTGGAAGCCATGCCTCCTTATTATCTAACGGTATCCTTTTCATATCAGTTTTCCACGATTTATTTGAGGAATACGAAAATAGGACTTAATCAACAATTTTTCCCACTTATTTTTCAGCCATTGAGAAATGCCCTCTCAAAAATGAAGATTGAAACAGGATTGTTGGATGAAAGAGGGGTTTCCCTGAGTCAAGTGTATCCTGCGGCGTTGTTGAACTACCTGAATGAGCTGAAAACACAGGGCAAGGAGGAGTTCGAGAAAACATGTACAACGTTGTCGGTACTTTCGCAACAGAACATGACTCCACTACCAATTGTATGTTTGCTTCTAGGCAACATTATTCCCTACTAAAGTAAAATTGGGCAACTAGCGCATACCTTTTAGGTGGCAGTTGAACAATTGCCGTGTGCGTCACCTTCGCGAGATTGGCAACCTCTTGCTGTGCGCATGAAGGACCGTGTTGCTCGAAGAGATCGCCGTGAGGTAGAGCCTATACGAGATCCTGAAGCAGAGTTGTCGAAAATGAGGATATCTTCTCATAGGACGCAATTGCATGTAAGTAGCATAGTGCCTAACTTGGTATGTTATTTAAATATTCCAGTTAGGTTATTGCTTGCCAACCTTTGTTTCACATTTCTTAGAAATTTTCTGTAAGTAATTTCCATTTATTTTCGAACCGATTTAAGCTGTCATCTTTTGACGTTAACGATGATGCAGCTAGGTTGGATCGTGTTCGTACAAATCACAAATCATGTGTTTAGATCCACTTGTGTGAACCACGGTTGCGGGCAACGGCTGGTTGCAAATTCAGAAATCCTTTTATTGTACCGGCATTAGATATGGTTGGCCATTTGCCAAGGTCAGGCATTGTAAATTGGTCTTGACTTTTTCGTTGGTTTTTGTGACACTGAAGCGAATTGTGTTTTGCGATGTCTTTCGCATTGTTCTTCTGAGTCCAACCAAGACTTCTTTTAATTTTTTCTGCTGTGTCCAGGAAGTATGTGTGTTTTCAAACTGCAATGATGGGAACTGCAATGGTTACCAAGGCATACAAATTAAAATGGGCGTGCCATCGATTCAATGAGATCGAACTGACGATGGTTTAGCAAATTCCAGGGTCGACTTTCTTTTAACCTTGGCATTGATCAATAATACATTTTTCTGTTTTTCTGTTTGTTGTTTTCTTGATGAGAAAGCCTCCCAACGGTTTACCGCCTCAAGGTGGCTAGGAGGTGTTCCTGGGTGTCGGACTGCGATCTACAACGGGGGGATTTGTCCCCACGCCAGGGTCTCTCAAGCTGAGAAGGAGTTCGGCGTTTCCATCAAGAAGCATGGCTAAGAGCAAACCAATACCAGGACCCGTCACCGTTCTGGTATCAAAGTCGCATGGTGCCAAATCTCCCTGTGATCCACATGAGCTGCGAATGCCCGTGGTACTGAAGACTGAAGACCTGGGGCAGACTGGCCAGGCTGACCTTGGGATTCCAGGGAACCACGATGGCTTAACCAGCAAATTTTCCATAAATGGTGATTATGCTGGGGTCCGCACAACTAGTGAGGGCAAGCCGTTCAAGTATGTGTATGTACATGTGTATGTGTGTGTATGTGTGCGCGTATGTATGTGTGTGTGTCTTATGTGTCTGTGTGTGTGTCAAGTGATGAGAAAACTAAAGGTTGTTAACACCAAGATTTGTTCATTAAATGGTGGCTGACATTTCGACCTTTTCTCTTTCTTCGGAACCTAGAAGATTCAAATGAATGAAATGGTCCTTGCTGTTAACAACCTCACGTTAGCTCATCAAGAAAACAGGATATTATTCACAGTAGGGTTTTTTTTCTCTTCGAGCGTTCTGCTGTGTTGCAGTGACAATATGATCTAGTGTTATCAAGGCTTTTTAAATGGTTCTCATATGCTTTTTGCTAATTTGTTTCCTTCTTTGTTTCTCTTTCTTTTTTCCCGTTGATTCATTCAAAAACGTTCTTGCACAGTTTCGAAAATCACGTCTAGCTCACTATTAAGTAGCAGTTGTGAGAAGGTTTTATGAAGTAACCTGCGTCTATGTTATTACTAAGTCATTTTGGGTGGTGTTCATGAATAAGAATATTTTTCATAGCTTAGGACTACTAGTTGTAGGTTGCGCGCCAATCTCGACATGACGTTTCGTGAAAGCACCTTTTCTCTCTTAGATGGTGGTCCTCCTGGCGTAGACTTAAAATTACATACGTCTGGTATGTTGTCTTTAATATGTGTGCTGTTATCATTTCCACTGTCAATTTCTTGATAGTTCAAGTTCCTTACGTCAAATTTAGACGAGCTTCATCAGTTGCCGATTGCGCAGATGGGTAATTACGAAGAGTATATCAAAGGACTGGCTTCCGTCGGACGTGGACCACTACGTCCAGTTGAACCGACACCTGTCCGGACGCATGCATTCGGAAATCCTTTCAAAACTGACAAAAAGAGCTTGGCGATTGATGAAGTTGGCAGCGGTTTTTTTTGTCAGATTTATTCTTTCTGTTTCAATTTAGCCATTCTTGAGGTTGGAGAGGGAATGGTTGGAGCAAACGCTGCGGTACCAACTGCAAAAGAATCGCGAAGAGAACGCGTTAGAGGTGACGGGATTGGCCGACCACCGAAGAGGAAGCCTGGTCCTGTGTCACGAAATTGTTTACAGCAATGGAGGTTTGTGTACTATCTTCGTGGTTTTTAATACAAAACCACTTCTTCTTACATTGGTTTGTCGAATATTAACCGTTCTCACGTTATTATTTACTTATCGTAGCATTAAACCTTCCGACGTTTTTACCTACTTGCAGCCATATTTGAGCAAGAGTTCATAGTATTTCGCTATGTCCATTCATCGCTGTTTCTTTTTGTCCATGTTTTTTTTCATCGTACTCTTTGATATCTTCGTTTCACATTTTCTTTTAGTGTTCCCTTAATTTATTTTCCTGGAATCAGGGAGCGTCGGCGAACGAACAGCGATCGGTCATCTGTGGTGTCGGATTTGTCTTACACTTTGGACCTGGATGTAGAAATGCCAAGTACAAGCGGTGAAAACTCCGGTGATGAAACAGCTTTGAATGAAATGACAAATGGATTAAATAATACAAGACTGGTGTGCTAATTTGCATGTAGACTTAGTACATTTTTACACGTTTTTTGTGCTTACGTTCCTTTTATGGGGTGGATTTCATTGTCTTAAACATGAAAGTGTAGTGTTCATCACTCAGATCGAGCTGGCTGGGCTTGAACCGGAAGCAGAAAGTGGAGAAGAAGAAGAAGCAGAGGAATCAATAGCTCCACCTGCAAAACGGCGGAAAACTGAGGGGCTGTCAGAAGAACAGATGATGGAACGGAAACTTCGGATAGCAGCGATTGTTCGGCGGCATTCGAACAGTACGAATTACACATTTTGGCTTCTGTTTGAAAATCTCTCAAGTATTATACCTCTAAGAATTAGATAAGGCATACTATTAGGAGAGAATCGTTTTTAATTTTGTGGTTGATGTGGATCTTTTGGAGCTGCTCTCCCTGTATTGCTATTCATGTCACATCATCTATATCGACTGGTTCAAATCCTCTTTTGCTAGTAATCTGAATGGTGCTCTTACATCATTTTTAGTGGAAGAGTGTTTTACTGTTGAAGTTTGGTTCTTAAGAAGCTTTGAACACTTTCACAAAGAACTTTTCATACCGCTATAGTACATGTAGCCTAAATCATTGTTAGTACAATATATAAAGTAATCCGTGCTCATGAATGCGTCGAGCCCAATTGGAGTATTCTCTCAATTTTAAGGAAACCAAGTAATATGTAATTCTTATTTTTCTGAATGAGGAAAGTTTTGTTTAAGGTCTTAAAAATAACCATGATGAAGTGGCATCGATATTGTTTCATATACTACATGAAATTTTGCATAGAAACCAATGCTTAGGCAGGTTCTGGCTCCTGAAGTTATATATACATGCGTTATTTCAGACAGTACCATATGGTCAGAGTTATGTCGTGAGACGTCAGTCGACGGCTCGTTGTTGGATCAGTTTCACCTCGCCGATTTCGCATTGCGTGATTCACGACGGTTTAAAAGAACGACCATAGTCGATCAACTCACTGCCGAAATTCAACGGATACGAAAGCTGCTTGCTATGTGAGCATAGCCTTTCTGTTTGTTCACGAGCTGTTTACATATTCTACGGGTTCCCTACTTCGAATGTTGCTGCATTACGCGATTCTATCTCCTCGTATTGGAATTTGCAAACTACTGTCATTCTGTAGATTGTGAGGAGTAATATACGGTATGTCCGGTCATTTATTTTTAGACTATTGATACTTATGATAAGGGCAAACTTTTGTAACTCACCTACTCAAGAATTTTGTTGTTCCAAATTTAGACCGCTGGTTTTATTTTTATACAGGTTTCCGCCGCAGAGGCTGTGCATCGAATCTTGCTGACGGCTTCGTTCTCTTCATTCTGTATTCACTAGTGCGGTTATAGTTTTGCAGATGGTCTCATATATATTTAATGGTTGCTGCCAACAATATAGATTAACAGCGGTTGCGAAGGTTTAACTAGATAATGTAGTTCTCTTTGTACGAAATTTGCAATCAGGCCAGTTATGGGGTGTTATCAACAATATCATTCCCATTTATAACTGATCCCCTAGACCAGTCCTATTTATAACTCCTCTTCCCTATCCGTTTTCTGAATTACAAGGTCATCTAGAAGTGCAGTGAATTGTTTTGGGCCCATTCGATGGTACAGATTGACGTCTTAGCTTCGGTTATATCTTCCATCGGGTATATTTGCCACTGTCGAATTTCGTTCTTCGCTACTATTTTTGAATCAGGCATTCTGTGCACTGAGGTACAGGATGCTAGCTTCAACTGCACTTTTTTTGAAGAGTTTTAAAAATAAGTCGTCTTTCGAACAAGTTTCGGCATGATGGTACGAGTTTTCTCCTTGTATATTTTCATGCGTAACTCTGTGCAAATTTCTGGTTTCCTGCTGCATTTTGACCTCAAATGGCTGTGCTTTGCATCTGCGCCTAGGTTTTTTCGATTTCGAAATCAGATTTTTGTATATCAATCATATTGTCGGAATAAATTATGAGATTATTTTCGCGATGATTTCAATGAGCGTTGTTTGTTTTGAATGTCATTTAGTTTTTCACACTTGCTTATTGAATTTTCTTTGTGTTTCACTCAGTGTTCTACGTTCTTTATCTTTTCTCTACGTTGTATGGAAAGTGACGTAAAATTCTAGGTCTCTCCGTTTAGTTCGAATTGTCGGAAGAGTTACTACGAAGTAAGAACAGGTTTGTTTTGCTTTGCGTTTTATGGTTGAAAATATGGCATTCTAACCGAATGTGATAATGAGATGTAGACTAGTGTTCGCTGAGACTACCAATTTCCTATTGCGCTAGGCTTGAATTTAGAAACTGGTTCCGGAAACTCCAGAAATGATTTTTGTTAACAATTGTAGAGGATGGTTTCTCACGAGCCAGGTCCGGAACAACATGTGCTTGGTAAGCGATCGCTTGAAAACAGAGCAGTGCAGCAAACAAAATTTTTGTCAAAAACTAAACAATTGAAGACAGTGCGCATCGAAGCCAATATATGGGGTTTGGTTGGCGCACGCACGCATGCAATGGTCTCATCCCTCATGGTAGTCTCTGTATTAATGTAAAGTGCGAATTAATGCTAGGAAAGTTTGCCTTGTAGGTATACTGTAGAGGTGTAGTTTCTGAAGAAATTTTAAGAACTTCGCTGCCTTTTGAAATATGGTTTGGATTCATATTTTCATGAGGGATCAATGCAGTAGTAGAGAGAAGATTTATCTGTTCGAGCATAACCACTTCAGCTCGTTGTCATGGTTTCCAGCACTGATATTTTAGATAGTAATGGATGGTTATTGGTTCGAAATAGGATTTCTAATGATTGAAAAACACTGAGTATGGTAGTGATATGGCAGTCCTTTTTTCGTTTCTACTTTGTTTTGTAAAAATGTCACTACTACTGTTGTCAATTACTACTATTACTCGTTTTCTTATTATTGTAGTTATTGTCCTTGTCAGTCATCTATTATATCTGTCTACGTATCAGTTATTATTTCTCAATAATTTGCTTACTATTGTCGCTACTACCAATCATAGGAGGTGGATAGCATTGTGGTTGTGATGTCCGTCATCGGGAGCATAGTGCTAATTCGATTCCGCTATAGGCCAACCAAGCCTCTCATCCCTCCGGGATCGGGGAATTTGTACCGGACTTATCTGGGAAAAAACACTCGCTGCAATCCAATTGGGAGCGGTCCAACTCGGCTATCTCAGGTCTCCAGGGAGAATTGCTCGACCAGCATTCTACGATATTCAAGATGGAATGAAAAATCTTCAGGTAGCAATCGAAGCCACACGTAAAGTTGGAAGATCTTCGTGGACAATGGATGCGAGAAAGCGAATCGAATGTGAGAAGTACTGGGATTCTCACAGTAGGCGTGAAGACGGATCATGTAAATAAATAGATAACTACCAATTATTGTTGTTATTATTTATTATTTATTGCCATTTGTTATCATTGTTTGTTGTTGCCATTATTATTATTATTGATTTATTATTATTGTTATTACTATTCTTATTACTGCCTCATCATCATTTCTATTGTTATTATTATTATTATTATCATTATTATTATTAGCAATACTGAATTTTCATTATTAATTTTTATTATGATTAGTTGTTTTTTGCTGTACGTGTGATTTCTCTTGCAAATGTGGAATTTGATTTGGGACAACTATGTCATTTGAAATTCTTTTCTTTTTCAGGTTTTTCGCAGCTCTTCAACTGTGGAGATGACGTTATGGGCTTATCCTGCTCTATTTAAGTAGTTGTACATATGACGTAATCTGCTATCTGCTTCTGATCTGACTGCGGCAATATTTTTCAAATTGTGGCAAATGAAATGGCACCGTCGTCGGATATCATACGAGTTAGGATCAACATGTTCAATGCTTAATTGTGGAAGAACGCCAAATCGACCGACATTCTGTAATGTTCTGGAAGAGGAAGCGTGAATGTTGTGATCAGCAGATCCACGTCTTTCACTCGATCTACTCGTATAATAGTAGACCTTAAGATGTTTTAAGCTTTAGCCAGGGAACGGTTAGCAAGACATAGGGTGGTGCCTACGTTATTTCCTAAGCTGTTGTGCTTGGAATTGTACGCATTGCTTTTGGTAGTCTTACTTTGTTGAATATTACGCTTTTGTTAACGTTCTTAACAAACAGAGGAACAGTATTACTTTGGGTTTTTTCATAGGGCCTGCTTGACATTAGTGAATTTCACTAATATTGTATTGAAAAGATTAACTCGCATGTCACCTTCAGAAGTTTTGCACACGAAAAAGGGAGCACGGCATCGAGTGAGTGGGCAATTCCGGACGATAGTTATGTATAGTGTTAGTTTTGACAGTGCCACTTAATCGGGCGACGGTGGACCAATTGTCGAGCTAGGTGTAAAGAACCTGGTGATATATACTGGTCTACAACACATTCTACTGTAGTTTTCGGGATGAGGCTATATGTCGTAGTACGTGAGATGTCGTCAAAGTAATTATACAAAAGCTTACTGAATATCACACAGAATGACATCAACTCGGTTTGATAGCACGGCATCCTGCGTGGTGAGTGTGTTTCGAGCGTTACGACTTTTGGGACCTTCTGAAATCGTTGATCATAGCAGATGTGTGATAACGATCTAGGCAGTATTCAATTACTGGAAGCAGTGGGACATTCGTAGACAGCCAGGCGGGCATACTACAGAAGGAAAAAGTGTTTTCGGTAGTATAATGGAACAGAGCATTCGAAGGCGTACATTATATACATATATATAATATATATATATACATATATATATGTACATTATATATATATATATACATATATATATATATATATATGAGGTCGACGGTGGTAATTTGGAAAGACACTAACTGAGAAAGTGGTTGTTGGGTGGCCATATTTTCTTCTTGTAAAGGTTCGACAATCAATCGACAGAAAGAGAGAAGGGCAGTTGTTCCTACCCACGATTTCGCAGGTTAGATGTATTAGGAGATTTGAAGATTTCAAGCGTTCGATGTTAGATAGACTCCGGTCGAAGGAGTTTACAGTATCCTTTTGGGGGATCTAGAGGTACAGAAAAGGTGTTTTAATTCGTGTGCTTTTCCACTTCCTTTCTGATATATGTGCAAAGTAGCCGGTCATTCAATCCTTTGTAGGCTTATATGGCAAGATATTCATAATCTTTGGCGATTAGTTGGTAGATTATGAGGCTTCCATAAAATACGAAATGACGCACTTCATCGTTTTAACAGGTTTGGCGGTATTTATCGATTTCAATACGCATGGTAGGAGAATGGTCGTCACTTTTAGCTTTGGGTCAGTGTGTCCCAGTTCTTAGCTAGTTTTAGTAATTGAGAAAAAAAAATGACTGGTGGAATCTGCAGAACTACAAACTGGGTACAAGTTCTATTATCCTATTAGGATGGAGTTCTTGTGTTCTGGAACCCACCACAGTGCTTTTTTCATTGAAGGTCGTATTTCAAACACGGAAGCAATTGAACAGCCGTAATTTCGCTTAGTATTTTACAACGGTCTATTGTTTTTGGTTGAGACTGTGGCGTTTGTGTGGGGAGTTGAAGATTTTCCTTCTTTCCTTCAGTTTAAATTTTTTTAGAATATTGTTTTTAAATATATTTAGAGTTAATCGATACTGCAGGAAAGTAACATTTGCCTTTAAGCGCAAGAAAGAGCAAATTTCCTCTAAAAAATTTGTAAAGTCCTCGATATCCTGTTACTATCGTAAGACCCTGATAACTACGCGCAATTTTTGGCCGCTTACGAGAAGCGTTGAGTGTATGTAACGCCGACCAAAGTGCCCTGGTTTTTCTGTGTTCCGTACTGGTAATTCAGGTATTTTTCGTATCCCGTTCATCTTATGTGTTCCTTTTTTGTATGCTTTCATGCTTTTCGAACGTATCGAACTCATGTATGATGAAGAAATAACCCATCTATCATCGAGCCGCATTACTGACCGCCTCTAGTAAGGTTTTCTAAGAGATGTGAAGAACGTCCTGGTCTTTTTCTGCTTTTTTTTTT